ATTTGTTGTTCTGTAACCTTTCTGTACATTTATAAGCATCTCTTTCTGTAGTTTATGGAAATTTTCTTCTATGATTTTGTTGAAGAAGTTTTCTGGCCTTTGAGTTGGGTGTCTTCTCCTTTATCTATTTATGTTATTCTTACATTTGGTCGTTTCATAATTTCCCACATTTCTTGGATTTTTTTTTGTAATAGAGACTTTTTAGCTTTAGCATTTCTTTGACCAGTGTATCAATTTCTTCTACTGTATCTTCTCTGCCAGAGATTCTCCCTTCCATTTCTTATATTTTGTTAGAGATGCTCCTGTCTGTAGATCCTGTTCCCTTTTCTAGGTTTTCCATCCCTGGGACTGCCTCAGTTTTTGTTTTCTTTATTGCTTCTATTTCCATTTTCAAGTCTTGGACAGTTTTATTCATTTTCTTTACCTGTTTGATTGTATTTTTGTGCATTTCTTGATATTTATTCATTTTCTCTTTAAGAGCCTCTACCTGTTTAATTGTATTTTCCTTTATTTTTTAAGGTATTTATTCATTCCCTCTTTAAAGACTCTATCATTGTAATAAGATTAGATTTAATGTAAGTTTCTTATGATTCAGTTGTGTTAGAGTTTCCAGCTCTTGCTGTAGTAGGATAGCTGGGCTCTATATTAGTATATGGGCTGCCATATTGCCCTGGCTTTTGTTGATTGTGTTCTTATAGTGGCCTTTAGCCATCTAGTTGTTCCTAGTATTGGCAATCTTCATAGTCCTGTGGAGATGTAGTAGAGCTGCTTATCCCTGGTAGTCCCTGATTGCTGCAGGTCTCTGGGTTTGTGGTTAGAGGTGTGGACCAGAAAACGGGTCCAAAGCAGACCTCAAAGTTGTTTGGCTTGCTAGGGGACCCAGTGGGAAGGGGCTTGGGGGCTACAGATCTCACCTAATTGTCTCAGGTGGCAGCAGGAATCAAGGTGTGTTTCTTGTTTGCAGCAGAGTCAAGAATTCTGTTTTTGCAACCATTCTCTTAGCCTGTCATTTTATTGGGGAATTGAGTTCATTGATGTTGGGAAATGTTAATAATTGTTAATTCCTGTTATCTTGATATTGGTGGTGGTACAGTATGAGTGTGTGTGTGTGTGTGTGCTTCCCTTCTTTTGATTTTGCTAGTGTGAAGTTATTTATTACCTGTGTTATCTTGGATATAGTTAGCCTCTTTGGATTGGAATTTTCCTTCTAGTATCCTCTCTGGGGATAGATTAGTGAAAAATATTGTTTAAATCTGTTTTTGTCATGGAATATCTTGTTTTCTCCATTTATGGTGATTAAAAGTTTTGCTGTGCTAGTAGTCTAAGCTGACATCTCTGGTCTCTTGGGGTATGCAAGATATCAGCCTAGCTCCTTGTGGCTTTTAGGGTCTCTTTTGAAAAGTTGGGTGTAACTTTCACACACCTGCGTTTATATGTTATTTGACATTTTCCCTTGAAGGTCTTAATATTCTTCCTTTTTTCTTTACAGTTAATGCTTTGATTATTATGTGGCAGGAGAATTTTCTTTTCTAGTCCAATCTACTTGGTGTTCTGTAAGCTTCTTGTACTTTTTATACGCATCTCTTTCTTTAGTTTCTATCATTTTGTTGAAAACATTTCCTGAGAGTCTACTTCTATTCCTATTACTCATAGGTTTGACCTTTTCATAATATCCCAAATTTCCTGGATGTTTTGTGTGAGGAATTTTTTTAGATTTAATATTTTCTCTGATCAATGTATCCATTTCTACAATACCTGAGATTCTTTCTTCTATCTCCTGCATTCATTGGGGAAGCTTGCCTCAGTAATTCCTGTTCAAATTTCACTTTTTTATTTTCTAGAATTCCTTCACTTCATGTTTTCTTTATTGCTTCTATTTCCATTTTTAAGTCTTGAATAGTTTTATTGATTCTCCTCAGCTGTTTTTTTTTCTTTCTTGGATTTCCTTAAGGGATATTTTTTCTAGCTGTTTGTGTTTTCCTATATATCTTTAAGGAATTTATTCATTTCCTCTTGAAGAGCCTTTTTATATTGTTGGTTTTACATTTGGGGGAGGGAGTTGTTTGTTTGGTTGATTGGTTTGATTTGTGGTTTAGTCATATTGTGTTGTAGAAAATTTTAAGCTCAATCCTGGGTTTCTACTCTGCCTTTGACCATTTGGCCTCAGATAAATACATACACAACCTTTATATTTGCAATAAGTCTTAAATATAACAAGAGCTGGGCAGATATCTACCCTCTATGCTATTAAAAATCTATTTCCTATCAATAACCTTGAATTATTACCTACTAGGACAGCCTGTGCTTAGGAACCATGAGGGGTATGATTTCTGTGGGACTAAAATATTTACAAACAAGTTCAGGTCCTTCTTGCTTTTGTTCTTGCACCCTCTTCCTCTTTCATTTGCCACCACAGAGTGATGTCATATCCCAGCAGCTTGAGATTAACCTTCCAAGCCTTCAGAACAATGAAAACTAAATCTCTTTTCCTTATATACTGTTCACCTTGTGGTATTCAGTTATAGCAGCACAGCTCAAAGACACCAGTCTCAGAAACACTGTCATGGTGCCAGAATCATTAAATTTCACAGTTATGTGTAGCATCTAGAGTTTTCAAGACATTGGAATATATACTTAGGTAGGTTATGGAAACTTGACATGTAGCTTATATCATCAAGGTGAATCGTCATGCTTTAGTACAAGTAAGTGCTCAAATAAAAAAATGACACATTAGACTCTGAACCTAGATGAGGCCATTACTCTGTTGGGGGAACATCAACAAAACTGTTGATATTTAACTCAAAGAAGAAATGAAAATCCATCAATATGAGAGAAAAGAACATTCTAAATATAGCATCAATCATAGGCTAACCACTACCATACATGAATGGTGAGGCCATAGAAGACAAGTGAGTGTCACAGGAGGAGTATAGATTCATAAGTAGAGAAGAGTGTAAGAGATAAGGCTGCCAAGGCAAGCTGGGGCCAGGACCAGAAGGATGGCTTGGTTAGAGCTCTTCATTTGTTCTCCATTTCCTTGTATTCTCTGAACTTTTGTGTATACACCGAGACTGTCCTCAGTTTGTGAAATGGAGAAGGTGTCATCAACTTATTTAGCTAGAATGACAACCAAAGGCTACTTTATACTAGGAGAGTCTGTATAACCCAGGGAAGCTTCTTGTGCCTCTCAAGAATGCTGGTAGAGTGCTGGGTGAGTAGCTTCTGAAGACTTAGGAACTGTCCCCCTTCTCAACATGTAATAGACAATGAGTATCACAGTCATTCCAGGTGAGGTAGACACAAATAAATCTTCATGGAGAAACCAAGATGCACAGCTGCAGATGTCACTGAATTCCACATTTCTGGCCAGTTTGTGATACGATGGTTATGTCCCAACTTGGAATTAGATCCTCACAATTTCAGAGTAAGAACACCAGTAATAGAGTAAACCTCTGGCTCTAAAGATGATTCATGGGCATGAAGGGTTTCTTCCTAAAAATTCTATACTGGGAAGCAAAGGCAGAGCAGAGAATATCCCAGAAAATTGGAATTGGAGCTTTAAGACCAATGGAGTCCTTTGGCCTTTAAAGTTCCTTCTTTACTGACTGTCTAATGTCTGGCTTCAGAAGTGATAGCATCAGAGAGTCAGAAGCTCCATGTGCTGTGACCCCTCAGAAGACAGACAAACAAACAAACCTTCTGGGACTTGTAGACCAGAGGTCTACAAAAGCCAAACAAATGTTCAATCAGGGGAGAAAGGGGTCTTCAAAATGGTCTGAAAATTTGGGGTTTTTTGTTGATTTTGGTCCCAGTTCTTGTTTTGTGTGTATTCATCCTAATGAATCAGTGTACTTAAAGAGGTGGTGGAGGGCATTCATATCAGTTTCATCCAAAACAGATTTTTAGCAGGAAAGCAATAGGAAGTTTTTACAAAAGCCACAAGAGAGCTGAAAGAAACATAGCTCCCTGCAGCAAGAGATTACTGACTGAGACATACAATAGGTTAAGGTGGAGTTAACTTCTTACACAATAAGCTGGAGTCAATTCTTAGTGAAGATGACAGCTATGGAAACAAGAGAACTTTGAAAGCCATGCATATTCCCAGGGAAAACTGTGCTTGGAGAAAATGGAGGGGATCTTAAGTTTTACGTTGAGACTGAGCTCCATCCTGTGCACTAGGACCAGGACCACTGTCATAGCTTTTTCAGTGCGCATGTGCCAAGACAGGGATCCTAGTGTAGCTGTTCCTAAGCTCAGGCAAAGAAGCACAGGGCCTGATCTCTCCACTCAGAGGTAATGCACATCTTAGGTCCAATAGGAGAATAACGAGATCACTGATGGGAACTACTCAAGCTCAAAATAAAGCCCAGGCCACTTAGACTTGGTAGTATCCAGTAATGAGGCCCCTCTCTACTCAGAGTCTGTAATACTTGCCAATAAACTTTGTGTTGGTTTTACCCTGGACTCCTCAGTTTTGAATTTTCATCTATTATCCTCAGAAACAAAGCATTCCCTAACTCAGACAGTATCAGATATAAGAGAATTTAGGATCCTAGACATTTGGGGGACCTTTGACAGACCACTTTCAGCAGACAGTCTTCTCCTTTTTATCTGGTCTGCTATGGAAACAGCCCATGAATCCTCTGTATGCATTCATATTATTTATTATAACATTGCTGATAACTTATGTGGGTTGTAACAAATGTCCCCACACAACATGATCCCCCTTTACACACACACACACACACACACACACACACACACTTGAACTTATGGTTTGCCTCCAATCATAATAGCAGAACTTGATTCCTAGTGGATCTGACAGGGGCCCAGGTTGCATTTCAAAGTTCTACCACCTCCTTCTCTGTCTATGGTTCATTTGTCTTGTGCCCTTTGGCTCTTAGCAGACTGTGGGTGTTGGATGGGAGTGATGAAGCTTGTTTAGGAAGGAATGGGTAGGATGTGGCTAGCAGGAGGACCCTACAAACCAAAAGAGGAGCTTAGACAAAATTACTTTGTTTGAATTGAGTATCTCCTTCTGGCAACCTGTTGCAGTGGCTTTCATTGCAGCAGGAGAAGATGTTTTTCTCAAACCCGATGTAACGCACGTACTCCACACATCTTCTTGGGCAGCTCAGAATAGAATATTTGTACAGATATTCTAAAGAAAGTAGAGCATTGTCATAAGTATGCAGGCCTTACCAATGAGAGTAAATATAGATGAGTTGTCGATCCTTCCCCTTCCAGCTTGAAACTAAAGACTCTACCATAGGAAAAAAAAAACAGGTTTCTACCCAGGATAACCTATCCCTGCCCACAGCACATACATAAGTTTATTACAGAGGATATGTAACAGACTGATATGTTAGTTTAAGCCACTAAAGAAAAGACATGGTTAGTAATTTGAAGTCTACCTAGTAAACTAAATCATTGTATAGATGAGAACTTTGAACACAGGATGGAAGGAACATATCCTAGACCACAAGCTGAGTCAACGGCAATGCTGATGTCACAAACAGATATGTAAATCAAGTCAAAATCAGTCTCTTTCACCTCCCCTTGCCTTCACCTCACCTCCACTGATAAGTAGAATATATACTTCTTTGGTTTGGCATGCAAAGTCAGGGTATCTGGGTTGACAGACTCCCAAGTTTCTTTTGCAGGTATTGTCAACATATTCATCACAGGAAGTGCAAAAAATGGGTTCCCCTATAGGGTATAGATATTATATCATAATAATGGAATAGGCATTGCTGCTAAAGAGAAGGTTGAGAAGAAAGACTAGGGATACAGTGGGAACAAGAAAGAGATCTCATTTCAGTTATTTGCCAAGGTTTGTACCTCAGTTGAGAGAAATTTTGTGCTCCCTTGATGATTTGTGTCACCCTTCCCACCTAACCCCCTCCTGAGTACATCCCAGTACCTCCCTAGAACTAGATTCTGGTGGAGTCATTGGACATCGAGATCCCTAGGAAAAGCTTCCAAGGTGTGAAATGGGATTGTGACAGCCAGAAAATGCAGAGACCTGGATCTAATGCTGTCCTTGTAGCTCCTGCCCTTTCCATCATGATGCTTGGGACATCACTCCCATACCCTAAAGCTCTGCCCCCCTTTGTTTCCCTGTCATGATACTCACCCACTGAATGAGACTTGTACAAAATCAGGACTCCTGGAAGCAAGAGAAACAGAAGACAGTCCATGTGTTTGGGGGAAACAAAAAAGAAAAGAGAGACAAGATAAACAGTATCCAGAAAGTGCTCAGGAACGTGCTCTGGACAGGATGTGAAATGGAGCTAGGGCTGAGACTTTTCCTTAGCCTCCCACTCTGTAAGTGATGTCCTGGACTCTGAACAATAAGGTTCACTTATTGCTGATAGGCTCTGCCTCTGCAGAGTAGGTGTTCTGCTTCCTCTCCCCATTTTAGCAATCTGGGATGTTGCTCAGGAAAATAACATTGGCAAGAGACAATTCCTGTTTCAAGGGAGGGGGGAGACATGATAACTTTATCTTACAGACTTCCAAGTGCATAACACACATGTAGTGAAGTGGATCCCTCAGCCCATCACATCATATGACAATAAGCTAAAGACATGCGAAGGCTCATGAAGATAAGAGTGAAGGCCAAGCTTACTTCAGAGTTTCAAGCTAAAAACAGAGCAGATTACAAATTCAGATCAAGATAATGGACTAAAGACGACCCCCTATCAGTCTGATCAACCCGCAGAATAGGGGATTTAAAGGTACAAAGTGGAGCCAATTCAACTTTCCTCAGGTAAACAAAAACAAAAAGCATCATTAAGGAAACCATGACCCTTATTCGAGGCGTATCTTCCTTCCTTATTCTCTTTCCCTCTCCTTCTCTTTCTCTCTCTTCTTCTCTCTCCCTCTCCCAACAACCCACTAACAATTCCACTTATCTTTTCTCATGTCTTTTAATTGAGTTATTTGGGGATGGTTTCTATGGATACAGCCCAAGGTTAAGGACAAGCCCAGGGCTGGAGGAATAGGGAACTCTGGCTTAGCTCAGTGGTGGGGAGTCCAGGAGCACAGAGGTGCAGAACGAAGGCTCTCTTCATGCTCCCTACAGCAGTTCTTGATTAAAGAGACAGTTCATATTTTATCCATATCATTTGTTGATTGTTAATAATGGAAAATAGATACATAGCACTTTCTCAGGGAAAACCAGAGATTAAATACCTTTTGCAGGAAAGAATGTTTGGGGAGGGAATCTTATTGGCTAAACCTTCAGGGCCTCTAGATACCTCATTAGCATGGAGAACTCTGTTCTGGTCTACATGACTGACATGGGGAGTCATGAGTTCTAGGCCAGGAATCTAGTAGGGAGCATGGAAATGCCTACAGTCTCAGGTAGATATCTGGATGTCAGGGTTCAGAACCCACTCAACCTTACCAAGATTCCTTGCACAGTGTACTCTCCCACAGTCAAGAACACTGGCTACTCTCCCAGAGGACTTGGGATCAATTCCCAGCACCCACATGGCATTGCTCAACTATCCATATCTCCAGTACCTGTCTTAGTCGGGGTTTCTATTCCTGCACAAACATCATAACCAAGAAACAAGTTGGGGAAGAAAGGGTTTACTCAGCTTACACTTCCACATTGCTGTTCATCACCAAAGGAAGTCGGGACTGGAACTCAAGCAGGTCAGGAAGCAAGAGCTGATGCAGAGGCACTGGAGGGATGTTACTTACTGACTCACTTCCCCTGGCTTGCTCAGAACCCAGGACTACCAGTCCAGGGATAGCATCACCCACAATGGGCTGTGCCCTAGCACTCTTGACCATTAATTGAGAAAATGCCTTATAGCCAGATCTCATGGAGGCATTTCCACAAGGGAGGCTCCTTTCTCTGTGATCACTCCAGCTTGTGTTAAGTGGACACACAAAACCAGTCAGTACAGTATCTGACACCCTCATACAAAATACATGTGGGCAAAACACCAATTCACATAAAATAAAGGGGCCCAAGCATTAAAGAAAAGTAACTAAAACACTAACAGTTTTAAAAGGAAAGAAATTTTTTAAAATGTTTAAAAATGTTGGTAGAAATGAAAGGTGAGAGAAACCACCTTTAAAAATGAAAAAGAAAGAAATTAGGGATCTCTGTCTCCCATAAAAGAACTGAGACTTCTGAGAGAGATGCCTTGATGGCAACAAATGGGACAGTGATGGGATAAAACTCAGCAGGCTCTAACCCCTGAATTCTAACAGCAGAAACAAGTGTAAGTAAGGGTGCACAATGCAAGAGCCACTTGACAACAAAGGACAACAGGGATTAGAATATTTTACTCATGCTGGGTTTTGTGCATTATACCTTTAATTCCAGAACTTGAGAAGCAGAGACAGGTGGATCTCTATGAGTTTAAAGACGAGCTAACCTACATTGTGAGTTCCAGGATAGCCAGGGCTATGTAGTGAGACTGACCTTGTTATTTAAAAAACAAAAAAACTGAGAGAGATAATATAATGGATATATTATGTTTGAGGAAAGAGACATCCAAGAAGGTATAGCCTAAGAGTGCTAAGGACTCTCAGATGCCTGTGCCATTCTGGCCAACTGTATAACTTCTGAGTTTTAAGTATCATTTGGGGCTTGGCACCTCTTGAAGACAGATTGACTTTCAAAATTGTATATTGCCTGTTAGATCACAGCCCCTCTACCTGCCTTTCTCGGACTCCCAAAATATGGGTCTCAGCCACCACAGACTCTCCCTCTCCAGAAACAGAGTTGATAAACAAGCCTGCTGTAGTCATGGAGCTCTCACAGATTTCTCTTCCCTCTCTTGCATCTGCAGCCTGCCCCCTTCTGCCCAGACCAAAGATGACTTTGAATTATACCTACTTTTAATACTGCCTGGAGACTTAGAGCATATAAACTAGGTTGTTCTCTTCAGTGCATGCACACACACAATAAATGGATAGATAGACACAGACAGACAGACAGACAGACAGACAGACAGACAGACTGACAGACAGGCAGGCAGACAGACAGGCAGGCAGACAGGCAGACAGGCAGACAGGCAGACAGGCAGACAGGCAGACAGACAGACCATACATAAATATAGACTCCAAGCTGCCCTGAGCAACCTGCTATTCCAGTGGGACTTCCATTGTCACCCCCCACCTCTCTACCCACCTTTGTCAGACCTGTGGATTCTGAACCATATAGGTAAGCTTCCTTTCCCCAACACATCTTCCCTGCTCGATGATTCCTCTGGAGCAAGCCAAGCTGCCCTGTGCAGCCTGCTAGCTGAGGCAGACCTCCATTCTCCCACCAACACTGACCACCTGCATTGGACCGGTGCCCCGTGAACCATACAGCCCAAGAAGACACATCAGAGGCTGCTGCACCAGGATCATTGAGGTTAATTCCCCTACTAGTACCTACTACATCAAAACATCCAGGGACCAAAACTATTCTGATGGCTAAAGGCCTTTATTTTTTTTTTTTACTTTCTTTTTTTTTCTTTTTTTTTTATTTAATTTTTTTTGAACATGAAATGCTTTTTTATAGCATGTTTTACAAGGGGAGGGGGTAAGAGGGGTCAGGTGGTGGAAAAGTACAGAATCTTCTTGGCCTGTGCCTTGAAACATGTCATGGTCTATACGGTACACTGCCTTGAATTATGATCTATCTGCTATTCATCAGAAGATATGGTACACTGCTTGAGTTATGGTCTCCCTGCTATTCTTCAGAAGATATGGTACACTGCTTTGAGTCTATCTGCAGCTGCCAAGCAGGATCTTGCAGTTGCCAAGCTTCAGGGGACATTGTGCAGGTGGGGAAAGGTAGGGGGTGAGGGTAAGGGCGAGGGTCCTGGCTTCTGGCATCTCCCCCTTCTCTGTTTAGTTCGAGAAGGCGTCTTATGATCAATCCCAACTATGTGAGTTTTGAATAAAGGCCTTTAAAAGAACACAACAGAAGCCAGGACAATATGACGCCTTCAGAACAAGGTGTCCCTTGTTCCCTACAACAGCAAGCCCTGAATATTCTAACCAAACCACAAGAAGATCATCTTGAATCCAATCTTATAAAGATGATAGAGGCCTTTGAAGAGGAAATGAATAAATCCCTTAAAAATACAGAAAAATACAATTAAAGAGGTTAAGGAAATAAAACTGTACAAGACATGAACATTGAAATAGAAACAATAAAGCAAGAACAAACTGAGTAAATCCTGGGAATGCAAAACCTAGGGAAGAGAACTTGAACCACAGATGCAAACATCACCAGCAGAATACAAGAGATGGAAGACAAAATCTCAGGTGTAGAAGATACAATAGAAGAAATTAATACATTAAATAAAATGTTACCTCTGAAAAAGTCCTGATATAATACACCCAGGAAGTTTGGCATACCATTAAAAGACCTAACCTAAGAATAATAGGAATAGAAAAAGGTGACGAGTCCCAGCTCCAAGGGGACTCCAAGAGATTCAACAAAATTATAGATGAAAACTTTCCCAACCTAAAGACACAGATGCCTATAAACATTAAGGAAGCATATGGAACAGCAAATAGACTGGACCAGAAAAGAAAATTCTCCTGCCACATAATAATCAAAACTCACAATCTACATAAAAAAGAATATTAAAAACAGCAAGGGAAATAGGTCAGGTAACGTGCAAAGGCAGACCTATAAGAATTACACTCAACTTCTTAACAGAGACTCTAAAAGCTAGAAGACTCTAAGCTAACTATATCCAAGAGAACACAGGAAATAAGTAATTTCATACCAGCAAAAACAAGAGAAGCACACACACACCACCACCACCACCAACAACAACAACATTAAAATAATAGGAAGTAACAGTCACAGGTCTTTAACAGCTCTCAGCATCAATGGCCTTAATTCCCCAATTTAAAAAAAAAAAGGCTAACACAATGGTTGCAATAACAGGATGAATCATTTTGCTGTGCAAGGAATGTTCTTCAGCAATAAAGATAGACATTACTTCAGACTATAGGACTGGAAAAAAGTTTTCCAAGCAAACTAACCCAAGAAATAAGCTGGAGAAGCCATTCTAACATATAATAAAAAAGACTTTCAACAAAAATTAATCAAAAGAAAATGAGGACACTTCATACACATGAAAGGAAAAATCTACTAAGTTATCTCAATTCTGAACAATTATGTCCCAAACACAAGGGCACCCACATTTGTAAAAGAAACCTTGCT